TGACAATTGACCGCGCACTAACGCACCTGCGATGGTTATGTATCTTGTACAGTGGGCGTGGTTTAAACTGAAGTGGCGTCACACTTACGAACCGGATACTCCATGTACTGTGTGGACTCTGCGGGCGCGCGCGACGACGTTCATTACAGAGAGCCTCGGTTTCGATGCGCATATGCGCAGACGGCACTAATGTGAAATCCCTCTATTCCTCATTCCCACCCAAACAAAAGTAGCACGTGTAAAACAACTTAGCCAGAACTTTAAGATGAGTCCAAGGTGTTGTAACTATGAGTATGATATAATGCACAATTTCATTCCCAAAACATCGTACATGAGTTTTTTCCTAATTACCTAGGTAGCACAGGCCATATCTGAATTATGCAGATAGGCAAGAAGTAATGCAAGCTGCTTCAGAGGGGCAAATTCCATTTCACACAGTGATATGGGTTATTCCCTGCCCCAGTTAAGTAATTTGGACATTGTGATACTAATGCTTTGACAATATTCCAAGGGTTTCAGGCTTTTGAAATCAAGTAGCATGCAAATTTTATTCTTGATATTCCTGCTTTTGAATTTAATTACATCGTTACCAGGGGCTGCAATACTTAAGTGTGATGATTTTTCAAGATCTCTAGATTAATCTAGCATCTGAAATTTAGACGCCATGACTGTAGAGGGAAAAGGCCACAGCTAGGCTTACCCTCATGACAGACTGGGCAAAGTACTTGCAGCACCAGTTGCTGAAGTTGGTGGACAGGTTGAGGTCCTTGGTGCTGATGTTCACAGACTCCATGTCCTCATAGGTCTGCAGATTGGTTCAGAGTCAGTGAGAAATGTGTTGAGGTGTCGGCATTTATACTTTACTCAGGGAGAGTCATTCAGAAAAGTGTAAATTCATCGGGCGGTACTTCTGAAGATCCGTGACTGAATTGGAATTTGAAATTAACAAGAAAATTTATTCATTTACATCGGCGGATAAAAAAACTAACAGAAAAAAATGGTGCACAGATCCATGGGACATTGGTAATATCATTCCTGCACCTGTATTTTTGGTAAAATCAAAAAGGAAAAGCACTACATCTCAAGAGTGGAACACAAAAAGAACGAGTGTTTGTTCACACCTGCTGTTTACTTCACACACATATGGAAACTATTTTACTGACATTTTAGTTTTTTGTGGACACATGCAGTTTTAAGCAACTTTTAACCCACAGGTGGCCTAACATTTAAAAGTAGCGCAGAGACGTGAAAAAGTAGGGAATTGATTTCTGGTGAAGGTACTCACGATGCTGGGTCCCTTGTCAAACAGCTTGCGCACCCGGGTGAACTGCTGGGAGTGGGGGAACTGGGAGCCGATGGGGGCGGGGTTCTGGGGCCTGGCTGGAGGAGGCTGTTCTCCAGCACGGATGGGCACCGGCTTGACAATCTCGATGGGGATGTTTAGCACTGCGGGAGGGGGTGAATCGCTGAGAAGACAGGAAGAGGACATTTTAGAGGTTATCAGAACTTGACAAATGATTTTAGCACTTGGTAATAATATTGTTACAATTAAGTCTTTTCTTGGACTTTTGTAAGAGTAATGCTGTGTCGCTGCTCGAACAAGGATTTTTGAGATGGTCATTCCATCCAAAATCGAATTCAGTTTCAATCAGATGTACCACTCTGGAATGACAAAAACTTCAAGCTAGAAAATGCAAAAGCTTGCATTAGATGGGGGCAGCCAAACCGTGACCACGCTATCCAGAATTCCATACGTGCTTTCCAACTTTGATCTTGGTCAATACTGGATGCATTGGACCATTCCAATTGATGCATTCTGCACACACTGGAGAACTGTAGACGGTTGAGATGATGTACCTAAGGTTTTGTGGGGAGGCGCTGTGATTTCTCGTTGATGGGCTGTTTGGTGCTGATGAAGGCGTCCTCCTATTCTCTTGCAGTACGTGCTGAGGTTTGGCCATGACAGTTGCCTGCGAAAAAAAAATTGTTAATAATAAGCCCTCCTACTGTTAGGAGTGACACAGTCTGTGAGCTTGTCGTAAATTCAATTGCCTTCCCTCGCTACTCTACATGGATACATCACTTGATTTACAAGAGGAGAGCTCTACCAAAAAGGTAACTTCATTTGCAATGGAGGGTTTAACAGAGACTCAGCCTGTCGTAAATTCAACTGCCTTCCCTCGCTACTCTACATGGATACGTTGCTTGATTTACAAGAGGAGAGCTCTGACCAAAAGGTAACTCCATTTGCAATGGACCACCTCCATATTATAGGCAGTCTTTATCTGGGGAAGTGGTGCCAAGCAAACTGTGAAAGTTTTTTTTTTTTTTTATTGATGCAAGAATTAGACTTGTCCTCTTTTGAAATAAAACCATTCATTTTACCCCATCCCAACACATCTCCATGCCAGGACCAAAAGTGTGATACAATATTAGACTCCGGTAAACCTCAAGGTTTCTAACATAATATAACCTACCCAAAAGTTAACGTAAGGTGTCCTGTCCAAAAGCTGGACAAAACTGCTCACGTGGTAAAAGGAAGCAACATGGGTCTACCTTGAGATTAATTTGGTTGACTAGTTGCTGTGCTAGCCTCTTGACTGCTGGGAGCGAGTCCGAGGCCAGCGTCAGCATCGTCTTCCAGATCTGAGCATACACGTTGTTGTAACTGGAGGAGAACAGGTTGTTGACCCCCGGGGAGAGCCGGCGGGCTTTGTCGAAGAGGACCGGCCCGTTGACTGGGTAGGCATCACCGCTCCCCGACGACGTGGTGGGGCCATTGGTGCTGGAAGAGGAACTGCTTGAGCTCGGCGACCTTGCCAGCTGTTGAGCTGATTGGCACGTTTTGAGAGAGATCATATGCTAATCAACTTTTGAATTGTCACGAAAGCATTCCGTTTTTGGTTTTTTAAGTAACGCTTGGCGACTTATGCACAATCTTAGCAGCCCTCCTTTTGATTGAATGTGACAAAACGTACTTTAAATGGAATTTTGTTGACTTTTGGTGAGTTTGGCTGTCAGAAATTATTTTGTCATCTAATTCAGGTACATTGAGTTAACTGTTCAATAGTCGGGTGCTGCAGTGATTTTGCAGAGTCACAGTACAGGGAAACTGGAGACCCGTTCAAGATGGCATAATCAATCGGGTTCAAAGAGATGCAAAGTGTGCTAAAGAAGCAAAGAATTAAGGCATGCTACACTAAGCTAACTTGAAGGATGCAAATCCACTGCCATATTAACGTTTAAAGCCCATCCCAATCAACAGATATACTACCAACTGGCTAGTAAGGATGATGACATCACCCACAAATGGAGTAAAACCTGCCAAAAGTTAACATTCATGCAGGATATGTAATATGCGCATGAGTTACATTCAAAATGCCAAGAGCATGCAATAAACATGCACTGACAGGATTAACATTCTGCCCTTTGTCAGACAAAATTGCAGGGATGAAAAAAATGGACAGCAACAAAGGTCAGGGTTAGAGAGGCAGAAGTATAGAACAAAGTTCCCAGTTCTTTTTTTCTACGCTGGGCTAGTTACACAATAAACGTAAGTCTTGAGTGTAAACATCAGGCTTGCCTGACGTATGAACCGCCCTTAAGTCCTTCATGGCAAAACTTACTGAGCCAAAGGGCTCTTTTTGTCTACAGGCAGAATGGGCTTTTAAATCTTATGTTAAAACCACAAGAATGTTCACATTTAAGTAAGGGCCATCACATATCAGACTGTGACCAATGTGTGAACAAGTGATGGAGTGTTCTAGGTATCAACATTTCTTTGGTGGGGGACCCACCACATCCTGAGTTATTACCTACAATTTCACTTCTCAGCATGTGGATTTACATTTTCAACTATCTATCAAAGCTTCCAAGCAAAAACCTCTATGCTAATCTCTACCATTGTCTATTTGCAGTACGTATAAAACCCTACTCCAAACACTGTGTGAAGTATCTTCTAATGAGGTGGGAGGCTGGAGGAGAAATAAATGCTGCAAGTTGTGAAGAGCATAGAGCAAATTATAGAAGTATCTCCAGCAAGCAAATGTGATGAAAAACTTCATGGAAAAACAAAATGGAGGTAACCCAACAGTCTTTGTATGAACAGTATTTGTGACTGCAAGTTTTATGTTTTTCAAATCAGATTCAAGGAGTTTAAATCCCTTGGACTTCACAGTAAGAGCAATAAGATATACTTCACGGGCCATGTCACATGACATCATGCCTGTCAGTTGTCGAGCATTCTGTCCAGTTAACATTAACATTTTTCAACCCATTCAAGTAATACTGTAGAATAGATTGGTTTACTGGAAGTTAGTGTTCCATGACCACTTCATGCAATTTTAGTCAAGTATATGTCGATCCTCAGATATCACCAGTCTCAAATGCCAGAAGCTTGAGTAATGACAGATTAGACATGGAGTGCTTTAGGTCTGAATATCAGAAGTGTTACACTGGGAACAATATAGCTTTGAAAAAAAAAGGCAAAGGGTTCATTTCAGAGCAAAGCAAAATAGCAACTTGATTAGAAGGAATTGAGCTTGAAACAAGGAACATAATTCTGACCTTAAAATACATTATTTCAGAGAGGAAAAAATCAAATAGATTTCCTGCAAAAACAAGTGGATAAAACCGCGACCCAAAGACATACATAGTTTGTTGTCCTTTTCAAGATCACTGGTATGCAGTCAGCATTTGCATAAAAAGCAGAGAGTAATCCCCATTACATTGTGGGGAACCAGTTGCCCAATGACCGAAGGACAGTAACCACAGGCACTTGTCGCAGCAACGAACATGGCTCCCAGTGCCAGGAAATGTAATTCTTTTTCTGGGAGGGTTAGGGGTAATTATCATATATGGACGTGGTTAACTGCAAGCTCAATCAATTTGGTGGTCACTTACAAATTTAAGTGCTAAGGCAAATGTCAGGCTTTACTTCCCTTTTATAAGAACATCATCCAACCAAATAATTTCCCCACCAAGGAAAAAATTACTACATATAGACTCGGATCCTTGGCTTGGTGGTTTTAGGTATAATGCTATTCTAACAGAGCTACCATGCCAGTCGGCCAGAAGAGCAATTTTGTTGTATCTTATACTTAAAAGTTTGTGTATCCCATTTATGATAATTACCCTGACCTTCCTATGAAAATGCATGTGCAAGGATTCAGATATGCCCATTTTATTATAACCACACCTAACCCTCCTAGGAAAAAAATGACACTACCAGGAAGACCTCTGTGTGCACTGCGAATCTGTAAGTAGGGGACCACTTAACTTAGTCATACATATGCAAAGGCTGAACTGCATAAATGAGTGTTTTAAGGCCAACACTTAATCTCCAACCTAAGTTCCCCCATCATATGTCATTCTGATTTTCATGTTTTGTTTTGTTTTTATGAAAAGGGCATATTTGATATTACCACAGAGCTGTATCAAAATTTCTCGGGGGCTAACTCCTTCACAAAGAAACTTCCGAAGCTGCCAGTCTTATATGAAGAAACCAAATCAATCTCAATCAAAATGGCTTCATGTCACCAGACCACCAAGATTCAGAATAGAACACAGTTTTAGTTCATCTTTTTGATGCGAACAATTATCGAGTCCTTGAACAATGTATTCCTGGTATTTCCACAAGTGCTTGCATGAACATGGACACATCTATTATCTTTCACTCACACACTAAGTTAGCACTCCAGCAATTTATCACAACTCAAACTGGTACTGTACAAGCCTTACTCCCCCCACCATCACCAATCGATGAAACCTAGGTCAGGCTAGAATGACGTTGAGAAGGTATGTACCATACATCTGGAGGTTGCCGGCACTAGTCGAGTGAGGTAGGTGTTGATTGGTCCGTCGGGAAGAGGAGGCAGCGGAGCCCTGTTGTAGGGACATTCTCCGCATGGACGCTGCGTGGCCCTGTGCGGCTACATAGTGGGCAACAATAGGGATGTGAGTCTGGGTGCAAGACTTTCTTGTGTTTAAAAACCTGACAACAGAGGCAGCCCAATCACTCCATTTACTTTGCACCAAGTAATCCATGACTGGTGCGGGATCCATCAGGTTGGCCCATTATGCATTCTTTAATTGCATCAAATGGCCCAGGATCTATAAATCATGGAAAAAGCGCCCCCGTTTGGTGACACAAGAGAGTCTTGCACGAGATTGGTGGGATCAGAAAGAACTAGCTCCTCATTTGTTTGCACAAAGCCCCAATGCGCACAATCCGGCAATTATTTTGTCCTCACAATGAAACCTGATGAGTTTTTTGCAAGTGAACAGCCATGGAGATGTCCTTTAAAATGTCGATGAGAAAGTACGAATGCAGTTTTGCAAATCAAATCTGACACTATTATTTCAGAGAATGAAGTCAGCTGATAACAATAACGAGCCAGACTTAAAAAAAAAATGTTGCAGCATTTTGAAAGTTTGCATTATTTATCCTTGTTACAATCCATTTATGAATCCTGTAATTGAATCAGTTACAACTAAACCATACATGAAATGATTGGCATTCACTGTAAACAAGAATGAACATGCTGTTGGTAAAATGATAAATGTAAAATAAATTACAAATGAAAAAAGAACAAACGTGAAATGTCTCATTACTTTAATTATTGCACACATGAGAAAAATGAAATCATCACACCAAATAAAACATGATCATAATTCAACAGAAACTTTTACTTCAAATGAAAGTATGCCACTGAAGCAGTTGAATTTTTCATTATTTCAAAAGGGAGTGGCAGAGAACTTTGAGCCAACAGCAGATCCCAATGACGACGTGACACTTGTGTGCCATGAAAAACTTAAAATGAAGGAACAGGGAACGGGCAGAGGACAGAGGAGGGGGCAGAGCAAAGGAAGGGTCAGGGAAAAAAAAGGGGCATAGGGTTGTGTGACGGCAGAGAAGATGGTACAGAAGCAACAAAACAAGACTTGACATGACACCGCAGCCATGACACTGACAGGCCCAATTTCACAGAGCTGGTTAGCAAAACTAATATAAGCACGGTTCGTTGTCAACTATAACCGTAACTTCACATGAATATGGGTAATTCCAGAAATTAGAGGTCCATTTTTTTTGTGTCCCTGTCAAATCTGACATATGATTTTGTAAGTTCAGAACACATTTTCTAATTTCCAAGAGTGATGAACTAAAGCACACTACCTGCCAAACAAATAGTTTGAAATCAATTCTGGTGATATTTCCATGTCAAATAACAAAGGTCAGATGTGACAGAGACATGAAAACGTCACACTTTTGAATGCCTAATTCCTGGAATTACCCTTATATTGCCTGGATATTCTTCTTAGCCTCTTTTTTTCCCTTTGGTGTAGATGCATTTTTGGCAGTTCGAGTGAACTGTGAACTGCTACTTTTAAAGCAGACCACTTCCAAAGTTTGTGTTAAGTTATCTAAGATTTTGTGCTTAAAGTGCCAAGATTTTAGCCATTTTTGCTTTGTAGGAAGAACATCAAGCTGGCACCCTCCACAGCTATGAAATTGGGCCAAGACCGACAAAATGACAGCGTTGTACCATACTGTACCTCACAGCTTTACAGATTCATTGAGCACAGGAAAATGTGGCGTAGCTTGAATTTTCTTTTCTTTTTTTAAGCCATTCCAAGGGGAAGCTTCCTCAACCAATTCTCCTCGTATGATTCAGCCTGTTTGTCAGTGTTTATGTCGTCCATGTGCTTGTCGGCAGGCAGTTTATCTGAAAGCTCGCCTCAAAACAACAAGTGTCCTCAAAGCAACAAGTGTCCTTCCTTTATAGTCTTTCAATTTATAGAGGACCGTAAATTTCCAGTTTAAGGGGGGAAATGTGAGCAAATCTGGATTCAAACCTTTGACCTCCAAACATTGTTCTGGTGATGAACTAAAAGAGCTGTCTAGCCTTACTCTATAGTCTAATGTCAATGTTTGTTCCTGCATGATTTTCAAATAATGATTCCTTATTTTATACACTTTTCCATTTTTTTTAAGCACTTTTTATTTTTTTCCCTCAACCATCTCAATTGGTATGGTTCACTTCAAAACTTTCAAAATATCTACTTCAAATCGCAGTACTTAGAAGTATCAAAGTATATGTAAGACCTTAAAGTCTGCCAAGACAATTCAGTTGCACCTTCCTTGCAAGTTTCCACTTTGACAGAACCCTATTACCTGAAACTTTGCGAGGGATGCCCCATCCGAATCTACCCCCTCCCAACACACTCAAGGTCCAAGGTCATCTGAACACTACTGCAGTTTCACCGTCTTCAAGTGCTTCCAATAACAGATGTGCCCTTTGACCCGTTTTGGTTGAATTAATCTCATACGCTGCAGACTGAACATTTCGCACCCCTATCTACTGGAAGTGCTGTGCACTAATACTCTTCTACTTGCTTTGTGCACACTTCCTTGAAGGCACTGCTTTATTTCTGACTACAATGAGTAGATGACGAGCATGCCACGCCAGACTTGAAGCATCTAGAAGTTGTTTCTGTACTCTAAGAATACAAGTAATTCTCATGCAAAGGCAGAGAGGTGGGAAGCCTGTACAGAGCCATCTGGGGCATGAGATAAGTCAGGGACCAAGACCACACGTTACTCTTCGGTTTTAATGTAGATACCTTTTCCGACTCACAGAAAGTTATCATGAGCTCAACAGAAAGACAACAAACAAAATAAACAAAACGAGAACGGCGTTCAACTCTATAACCAGCTTCAACATTTAGAACACAACTCGACACATTTCTACATTAAAAGAAAATGTTACAAATACTCACACACAAAAGAAAACAGACAAAACAAAGCGACGAGAGACAAATGGAAAATGTGAGGGGACAATACCGTTGGCTCCCAGGGAGTCGTGTACAAGCAGCCACCCACCGGTAGTCACGCCCACACCTAAGGGCGCCTGGTTCTCGTCACTGCGCTGGTCCTCTTCCAGGATCTGTCGGGCCACGGACGCAAACTGCGACTCAAACTGCTTGATGAGCTGGTAGAGCGCCACCACTAGTTGCTGCAGGGAGAGGAACAAATCCATGAGTTTTTCAGCTTGAACTGTGACCACCAGGTAGTGTGGTAAGCCTGCTGTGTACATGTAAATGTTCTAGTAGCTGAGTACCTGGGACAGTATTCTCACATGGGTTGTGTACCCAAGCAGGGCAATCTGCCGAATTCTGTGTGTAATCACTCGGGACTGGATGGATGCATATGGCAAGATCTAGCTGAAGAAAAATTTTTTTCAGGGGAGGCTTAAGTAAGGGCAATAAATCTAGATAATAATTGTATTACTGATATTAAAGATTCATGCCGCATTTTGAAGTTGCATCGGCCCTTTTGGAAATGCATTATTTTGGCAAATCATGAAAGTAAAAGGAACTCGAAGTCCTCAATTTGGGACTTGATAGCTAAAAACT